GAAGGCGGGGCTGCCTCTTCAACAAGGTTCAAGTCAAAACGACGGTCGGAGGGGCCAGACATTTTCAAAGGTGTTGAAGAGAGAAGAGGTCGGACAAATCAAGATCTTAGAAGTGCAAGAATGAAGCTTCTACTGGTGGAGATTCAAGTGTGCTTTGGAACTTAATGCCAGCCCCTATAAAAATCTGCACTCGACGGAGCTTCAGAAATCGAAGAGGCGCCTGCTCAGAAATCGAAGAGGCGTTTGCTTTCTCAAAAGCTGGGCTGCTTAGAGATCACGAGGGTTGATCTCAGAAATCGAAGAGGCGTTTGCTTTCTCAAAAGTTGGGCTGCTCAAAGACCACGAAGGCTGATCTCAGAAATCGAAGAGGCGCTCGCTTTCTCAAAAGCTGGGCTCCCTCAGAGACCACGAGGGCCGATCTCAGAAATCGAAGAGGCACCTACTTTTCCAGCCTTGTCAGCACCTGTCACACGCACACTCAGCTTTGCGGAAATTATGGGCATTCTGTCGAAGACTTCTGGGGAAGTAGAAAACACATGAATCTTACTGTTCAATCACCCACTTCCCACACGCAACAATAGCTCATGGGTACCACAGAAAACTTTGCCAAAGTTCTCTGCCAAAGTTGAGCACGTGAAGCTTGCAGCTCCCACTACATCGCTCTGACCAAGAAGGGTAAAAGAATAGCAAAGAAACAGCACTAACAAAGTTTAGACCCATAAATTTTGAAGGTCTAGCTACCATATTATTACCCACAAGGGTAAAGGAACAGTACCACTGCTGGATAATTGGAAAGTCCCTGTGTGTCAACCTCTGTGCTTCGTGGCAAGGTAGACTTAGCAAACATGCCCAACCTTTACTCACATTCGAGAAAACACTCCCAATAAGGATTGCTTGCTCCAAAATCGAAGAGGCACCGTCCTCCTAATCTCGAGAGCCAGACTCCCAACATGACTACTTTCTTAAAAATCGAAGAGAGGGTAAAGGAACAGTACCATTGCTGGATAATTGGAAAGTCCTCTGTGTGTCAACCTCTGTGCTTCGTGGCAAGGTAGACTAGCAAACATGCCCAACCTTTACTCACATTCGAGAAAACACTCCTCAACAAGATTGCTTGCTCCAAAATCGAAGAGGCACCGCCCTCCGAATCTCGAGAGCCAGACTCCCAACATGATTACTTTCTCAAAAATCGAAGAGACACTGCTCCCCGAATCTTCGAGAGCCAGACCCCCAGCATGATTGCTTTCTCAAAAATCGATGAGGCATCGTTCTCCGAATCAATCGAAGAGGCGCTCGCTTTCTCAAAAGCTGGGCTGCTCAGAGACCACGAGGGCCGATCTCAGAAATCGAAGCGGCACCTACTTTTCTAGCCTTGTCAGCACCTGTCACACGCACACTCAGCTTTGCAGAAATTATGGGCATTCTATCGAAGACTTCTGGTGAAGTAGAAAGCACATGAATCTTACTGTTCAATCACCCAATTCCCACACGCAACAATAGCTCATGGGTACCACAGATAACTTTGCCAAAGTTCTCTGCCAAAGTTGAGCACGTGAAGCTTGCAGCTCCCACTACATCGCTCTGACCAAGAAGGGTAAAAGAATAGCAAAGAAACAACACTAACAAAGTTTAGACACATAAATTTTGAAGGTCTAGCTACCATATTATTACCCACAAGGGTAAAGGAACAGTACCACTGCTGGATAATTGGAAAGTCCCTGTTTGTCAACCTCTGTGCTTCGTGGCAAGGTAGACTAGCAAACATGCCCAACCTTTACTCACATTCGAGAAAACACTCCCAACAAGATTGCTTGCTCCAAAATCGAAGAGGCACCGTCCTCCGAATCTCGAGAGCCAGACTCCCAACATGACTACTTTCTCAAAATCGAAGAGAGGGTAAAGGAACAGTACCATTGCTGGATAATTGGAAAGTCCCTGTGTGTCAACCTTTGTGCTTCGTGGCAAGGTAGACTAGCAAACATGTCCAACCTTTACTCACATTCGAGACAACACTCCCAACAAGATTGCTTGCTCCAAAATCGAAGAGGCACTGCCCTCCGAATCTCGAGAGCCAGACTCCCAACATGATTACTTCCTCAAAAATCGAAGAGACACTGCTCTCCGAATCTCGAGAGCCAGACCCCCAGCATGATTGCTTTCTCAAAAATCGAAGAGGCATCGTTCTCCGAATCTCGAGAGCCAGATACCACAGACCACTTTTTCAAAGTGCTCTGACAGAGTTAAAACATGTGAAACTGGCAGCTCCCACTACCGTGCTATGACCAAGCAGGGTAAAGGAATAACATTACTACTTGTTAGGGAGACTCCTATATATGTCGACCTCCATCCCCAACGGACAGGCAGACCTGCAAAAATGCTCAACCCTTCATCATATCTGAGAGGGCACTCCCAACGAAGCCTTTCGAAATATTCAGCTTTCTTTCCCCCCGATAATACCTCTGCAAACAAGCTATACTAGAGCAAGAATATCTCATATCATCAGGGTTAAAAGCAAGAGTATCCCATATCATGCTTTTTCCCTGTCTTTTCCTTTGGCCTTGTTTTTACCTGCAAGACAAGGAGAAAGAGAGCAATCAGTCAGCACTTGGAATCAAGCTTCCAGCCAGGAACTGACTGCCTGGAACCCCTTACCTGATTACTTACCTGGCATTGCTCTCGAGTACTCATCTTCAACATCTTATGTTTCCAGGGAAGATTCCGCATCTGCTTGAGGAACAGATAGGGCAAGTGCGAAGGATACAAGGAAGCATGTGGAGACAAGCGTAACAGCACACGTGCCGATACATCCATTACTCTGTCAAAAGCAAAAGTATCCCATATCAGCAGGGTGGAAACGTACTCTAGATTTGATGGACTTGTTTTGACCCTCAAATTCTTCAGTCGGCCTTATACTCTGGAGGAAACCAGAAAACCCTCCAGCTCAGTTCAAGAATAAGCCTGTGGAAAGTTACTTCTTCAAAAGCAAAAGTATCTCATATCATCTCTTCTCATTTTTCTTCTCTTTATCCTTCATGCTGCTGCAAGATGGGGAGAAGGTGAACAATCAGTCGGAGCTCTGATTGCTTACCTTGTCTGTCACCTCTTTCAGCAGACCCCCTAGCTCGGCGACTTGGAGGACTCCTACTACATGGTTTGTATCGCGCTTGACCAAGCCTGAAACTACAAGTAAGCTTCAAGTGAAATTGATACATTACCTTGTGCATCTCCACCAGTTAAAGATACCACCCCTGGATGGAGGAAGAGTACTTCCAGAGAAGATGCCACATCTACCTATGAGACAGATAAGGCAAGTCAAGACGACACCACACTCCGATACTTAGAAGTTTCGTGATTACGAGATCATTCTCTCACAATATTTCCTAATGTCATTTGTACTAAATCATTCACTTGTACTCACTAAAGGAGAGCTTGAACCTATGTACTTGTGTAAACCCTTCACAATTAATGAGAACTCTTCTATTCCGTGGACGTAGCCAATCTAGGTGAACCACGTACATCTTGTGTTTGCTTTCCTATCTCTATCCATTTATATACTTATCCACACTAATGACCGGAGCAATCTAGCGAAGATCACAAAAAGCGACCGTTTTCGCTACCTAGGATCTATCTTGCAAGAGAACGGAGAATTAGATGGAGATCTCAACCATAGAATACGAGCTGGATGGATGAAGTGTAAGAATGCATCCGGCGTGTTATGAGACCGTCGTAGGCCACTGAAGCTCAAGGGAAAATTTTATAGGACGGCAATAAGGCCAGCGATGTTGTATGGCACTGAATGTTGGACGGTGAAGCATCAACACGTACACAAAATGGGTGTAGCGGAGATGAGGATGCTTCGTGGGATGTGTGGGCACACGAGAAAGGATAAGATTGGGAATGAGGATATCCGAGGTAAAGTAGGAGTAGCCGAAATTGTAGGAAAGATGAGAGAAAATCGGCTCCGGTGATTTGGACATGTGCAAAGAAGGCCGAATGACGCTCTGGTTCGAAGATGTGACTACGAGACAGAGGTTCAGGGCCGAAGGGGTAGAGGAAGACCTAGGAAAACTTTGGAAGAGACTCTAAGAAAAGACTTAGAGTACTTGGATCTAACGGAGGACATGACACAAAACCGAGCGCAATGGCGTTCTAGGATTCATATAGCCGACCCCACTTAGTGGGAAAAGGCTTTGTTGTTGTTGTTGTTGTTGTTGTGTAAGAGAGAGAGAGAGAGAGGGGGGGGACCGGTTGCAATTTTTTATTATTTAAACAAACAAAAAAAATTATTATTTTAATTGTTTATTGCCAGGGGGAGGGTTTCAAGGGTGGAGATGTAAATGTCAATTACTGTTCATTAATGGTAGTTACTATTCATTTAAGGCAGTTACTGTTCAATATGGTGGATTAAATAGTGGATTGCCAGGGGGAGGGCTCCATGGCTGGAGTTGCTCTTAAATATACCAATTTGTTAAAACTGTACCCTTTTTTAATTTAAAACATACCCATTTTTTTATATAAAATTTCATTCAATCTTTTCTCTAATCCATTTTTAAACTTATATGGGTACATTCTATTTTGTTCATTTGAAAATGTATCCATGTTAAGTTTAATAGAAGAAATTCAATAATGTTATTAAGGATATATATATATATTTTTTTTGTGTTTGAAAAATGTATCCATACTTTGGTACAATAATTTTTTTGTTAGTTTTGACAAACGTACCAATGTGTGTGTACACACACACACACACAATATATTGGAGAGTATAATTCATTTTTCATATTTTTAATCCCATAAAATATGGGTTTTATTTAAAATCTCATTAATATATAAAACTATAAATTTTATTTTTAATTTAAAAATATAATAATTTATATAGAAATACATTATTACATTAATATCAGAGATTTCAATCAAAAACTAAAATTCACCAAGATTTTAATCAAAGGACATTGATAATTAGAGATTGCATCCAAAGTGTTCTATTAAAATATCTATTCAACATGAAGAAGAATAAACATTCAAACAAGATATTTTATAGAATAGAGTACATGTCACAAACAACAACAAAAAAAAAAACAAAAAGAGGTACAGACCCCAAGGAATTATCATATCTATTCCATAGAACGGAATTTCTGACAACGGACCCATTCCCTCCGCATGGTAGAGAAAACATTCTAACCCTCCGTCCATCCGGAATAGAATCCTATCCGGATTCTCTTTATAAAATCTCGAAAATCATTTCATCATGTCCATTTATTTGGATGGTGAGCAAAATTGCACCCTCAAATACTAGGAAGGAGGTATATAGTGGACTGAATCCATTTGAGGCCTTTAAAATTGGACCTGTATTAAAACACCCCTTTAATAAGATTTGGATCCTATCCGGATCCAAATTGTGGGATCATGGGAATCATCATATCTTAATCATTCATTATACATTGTGCAATAAAAAATTATTTAAATTTTATTATTTAAAATTAAACACGAATAGTAACTAACGAAAACTGATCATACGATATAATAAACAGTTAAGAAGTAAGAATTTTTAGGATTTCCATAAAAAAAATCAGAAGATGATCCTCATCCCTTTAATAAAATATGCATTTCTTTCCAAGATCACGTAGTAAAAGCCTTGAGATGAGCGAGAAACAATACTTATCCAACTTTTCTGCACTTCCATGCATGAAATATGGCTTCTTCCCAGGAAGATACAAAGTAATGAAGCATTAAATTGAAGGTTGATTGGGGAGGACACGACAGGATAAGGCCTGCCTTCAATTTATAGTAGATTACGAAAGAGATGTGCTATCCACGCATCTTTTAGTTTTATTGATAAATTTTAGTTTTATTGTTGATCTTATCATGTATTTGATGGTAATTATGCAATAGGATAAGAAAGACAATTCACATTTAAAGTTTAGGTTATGTGTAGAAAGATGTTATGTGAGTTCAAATAAAATTTCTCATAAAATACTTAAAAATTATTTGACATCATCTTTTCTCGTATGTCAAATTTGACATGTGAAAACTCATATGTCAATCCACATAAAATTGTGTGAAAACTCATATGTCAATCCACATAAAATTGAGATATCGGTTCAAACTTGTTCTTACCTTCAAATTTGATTATATGTCATTCTACTTAAGATTTAACATCTTTTCTATAAGCTTTGCTCAATTACCTAGAGGCCTCGTGGGATTGAATTAGAATAACACACTGTATTTGAAGTATGTTGAACGAAAAATTGAGGATAAAAAATGTTGCAGCAGCTGAGACTCCCGCACGGAGTTGCAGGTTTTTCGACGCGACCAGAGGGGCGGACCGTCTCCTGAATATGCAAATGTATCATGAAACTCTACGCCTTCTGTTTTCAATAATATTGATATTCAGGAAGTTGTATTATTACACCATAAATTATTATTGTTAAAGGACAAATGCACTTCCTGTAGGCATACGGCAAGTATTTACCGTAAACACAGTGTCTTCAACTTGCGTGCAACCTTTGGCTGCTAAACAAGCTTGACTTGTACCATATCTTATGCAACCATTCACAATCTGTACGAGGTTCTCATTGAAAAGAAAGAATGAGGATTCTGTTCACGAGGATTTTGAGAATCCTTCAATTATATCTATTCATCGTATATCATGCAGTTAGTTTTTATCATATACTGTTTATATTCAATTTTAAATAAAAAATTTACAATAATTTTTAACTGCACAATATAAAATGAAATGACGTGATAGGAAAATCTGCAAGATCCTCCCATTCGAAAAAAACGTCAAGAACACGCAACCTATATGGCAGTCAAATACTAGCTAATCAAAAGGACTAATTACAAGATCATGAGACGGACACGTTCATCCCGCACCATTGCTACATCAAACTCTTGAAAAGAAAGAAATATCTCTGTCAATTCAAAATGAAGAACATCGCTCTTCAAAAGAAAGAAGTACATGTCCTTCAGAGAGTACAGACAACTTTTAATTATGAGCTGTCATTTCCGATTTATTCCTTTTTTCCGAGGTAAAACGTAACAATTTGTATTAATTATTACTTGAATTTGTAAGAATTATAGTCAATTTGAAGTTTAGGCTTATATTTGTTCCATGCCAATTTTGTTCATGACCATAGGACCAGGATCCTCTCCTCTCCTGAGCAGATGGAGAGGATCCTCCTGACCAGACTCATAGGGCCGTTCATTTTTTATTCAACGGTTACAAACAGGGGGTCCCTCTAAAAGTTATAATAATTATAACCGTTGGATAAAAAATGAACGGCCCTATAGGCCTGGTCAGGAGGATCCTCTCCATCTGCTCAGGAGAGGATCCTGATCCCATGACCATAAGTTATAGTGTATGTATATCATGCACCCCAACTCATATCTTACTTAACTTTGGTTAATTTTTTTTTAAATTAAAAAAAACACACATACTGTGAACCTTAACTAAAAATAAATGAAATAACAAGTGTTAGATAATTAGATAGAGAATGAAAATACATTATAATTATTATGGTAAGTAAAAACACTCTCCATCTGTCATAGGCTCATAGCAGATGGGTGTGTCAGTTGGTCCTGTACGGCTTTATACAAGAAAGGATCAAACAAGATTAGGCTATCTCCAATAATTACGTCATTATACATACAAAAAAGGAAAAAAATATCAATCAGTTTACCATATTCAGCAGCTCATTTCTTGGAATCACCTTCTACTGGTTCATGAAATGAGTGGTCCAAATGACCCCTTAACCAAATATCAGTCCAGAGTCCAGACCAACTTTACATGTGCCTGTTCACATGTAATAATTGCTTTTCACAGAAAAGACATAATATAATACTATTACGTGATCAAACGTTACGAGCCGTGTGCAAGTTTTCTACCATCAACTATTTCGTTATGCAATACTAGCTAGTTGACAATTCAAAATAAAGAACATGGTTATTGAAAAGAAAGAATGATCCGTCATTCTGAGAATATAGACACAACTCATAATAAAGATACATCTGTCATTAACCCATCTGAAAATAATTGGAATTTTAGTCTATCGACTGGATTGGCGGAGATGACTTTTTATGTTTTGTTAAAGTTATCTTAATGCTATGTTGAATGTCCTTTTTAATTCTGTATTTATTTTTAAAATTATAATAAAATCGTTATCGTTTCGTTCTGAAATTAAATACACATTTTCTTCAATGCTTCTTCGTGAAGAGGTGGAAAATAAAAATTTACTCTTAAAGGACTAGATTGACTAATTCCTACTAATTTAAGGAGTTAAACGACATTTTATTCTTGATTAATAAAAGGATAATGTTAATGAGATCAAATTTATAATTCAAATTTTATAAATTAAATGATATGGATGTTGATAATTAAGGACTCGTTTGAATGTGTTTTTTAAAATGATTGAAAGCGTTTTTAGAGAAAATAATTTTGGATCCAAAATCACTTAAGTGTTTTCTACAAGAAGCATCAGTTATGTGTTTTTTTCAGGAAACACTTTAAGTGTTTTTCCACCATTTACTAGCATTTTTACTAAGGATTGTTTCAAAAAATATTTTCATCAAAAGCGTTTTCAATCATTTTAAAAGTACATCCAAACGAGATTATTACTTACATGTTGATTAATATGCTTATTTCTTATCGGTGAAATATCATTTGAATTTGTACATTTACTATAAAAATTTAATCTCACTACATTACCATTAATAAAAGGGAACTTTAACGAAAAGCTTCTGGTAGTGTTCACTTTAACGAAAAATCACATTTTTACACTAAAAAATCAATCTTTATACTATTCACTTTACTCTTTATTTTGTTTTTATCGTTAAAACTTAAAATTTTCAAATCTTTTTCATTAGTTAATAGTTGATTAAAAGATAACGAATCTTTTTTTAAGAGAGGACGCTTAGCCCAAAAATAAAAATAAAAAACACTCCTCTTCCAAGCAAATATTTTTTTTAAAAGACAGCGAATCTTTTGTTTTTTTAAACTCGCGTTGTCCATTTCATGCATGCATACTTTTCCATTCAAGCATGTTTTTCATTTTAAGTATACTATTATTTTCTACCACCAGTGAATTAAATTCAACCTTCTTTTTCCTTTCTAAAGATTGTTCTATGCTTCTAACCACCGGCGTTTTCCTATCCTTGTGGTTACGTGTGCAAGCTTGAATCGTCAAGGTTGTGAGTCCGGTTACGTGTACAAGCTTGAATCGTCAAGGTTGTGAGTCCGAAAGATGGTACGCTTTCTAAACATAAGTAATGCTAGAAAAATTAAATTTGTAAATAATGATATTGAAGTTGACGATTAAATTATTATTTAAGCATTAATAAATATGTTCATTTAGATTGGTAACATATTATTTAGTTTACAAAGTTTATCTATAAATTTAATTTCTCTAGTATTATCCTTTAAACATCATTCTAACATCTTAACTAAATTACATATTATTTAATTTACAAATTTTATCTATAAATTTAATTTCTTTAGTATTATCCTTTAAACATCATTCTAACATCTTAACTAAATTACATATTATTTAATTTACAAATTTTATCTATAAATTTAATTTCTCTAGTATTATCCTTTAAACATCATTCTAACATCTTAACTAAATTTGCGAAAAAAAATAATTTCTAAGATTTTCTAGTCACTCAACTAAACCAAAATTTACCCACAAAAATAAATGTTCAACAGATTGTTGTGTAAGTAATTAAATGAAGTCATTAATATCGCTATCTGGGAGGGACCACGATTTTGGATCTGGGCCGAGTCTCGCGATCCGCCGGTACAATAAGTACGAGCCACCGAAATTAACAACAGTGCATGTGGGGCGCAAGTTATGGGTACTTTCCATCCACGTCACCCTCTCACAAGCGTTACCGCGGGCGGAACCAAACGCAGTGGGTCCCGGAAGGAAAACCCTAGACCCTGAGAACACGTTCAAATAAGACCGCACAGACGGAATGTCATCAACTATATTATACGCGCTCATTGCATGAAAGCTAACAACATAATAACCTCTGGCCTTCACCAATTTACTAAAACATGGCGGTCGACGTTAGCGTGAGGGAGTCAACAATCGTCAAGCCGACGGAGGAGACGCCGAAGCAGGTTCTGTGGATGTCCAACTTGGACTTGGTAATTCTGGGCAAGCACACCCCCAGTGTATATTTCTACCGGCGAAGCCAAACCGGCAGCCATCAGGGCAACTCCTTCTTCGACCCGGCGGTGCTCAAGCGCGCCCTCGCCAAGGCCCTCGTGCCCTTCTACCCATTGGCGGGGCGCCTCCAGCAGAACGAAACCGGCCGTTCCGAAATCAACTGCAATGGGGAGGGGGTGCTGTTTGTTGTAGCGGAGACCACCTCCGTCCTCGATGATTTTGGCGATTTTGCGCCGACTCCTGAGTTCCGGAAGCTCATCCCCGTCATTGATTATTCTGCTGGGATTTCCACATATCCCCTCTTGGTGGTGCAGGTATGTATATATTGATCTAGTGCATCTTTGCTTCCGCGTCAGGTGGTGATAATACTAACCTGTATTTATTATACTTGGATTACTTTAAGTTTTGAGATTTGTGTCTATTTACAGATCTCAAAATTTCCATCCAACAACAAAAAAATAGAGTGATGATCATCACTTGATGTGGTGAACAATTCCATAACTTAAGAGTTAATTGCAGCAATAATTCTTGAACTGTACTTATAGTTTTATTTTAGTTAATAGACTCTCATATATATATATATATATATATATTTATTTAGTTTTCAGAATTAACAATACGTTGTACCTTGGTCACTTTCACTAACGTCGTCTAGGTTTTTTTGTTAAAATTAAGGTATATTAAGAATTTCATTACACATCAATCAAAATAAATTAAAAAATGAGAGAAAAAGAAAACCTAACAAAATCATATTTCTTATTTTGTAAGAAAATGAATATATAAGGTCTTTTTTCCCGTAATTTAATATGTGATTTGATATTTGTTTTAGGCCCCGTTTGGGATTGAGGTGATTTTAAAAAAAGTCACTGTGAAAAAAAGCTGAGGGTCATTTTTGTGTTTGGTGAAAAAAAAGGGCTTATTTTGGAAGCTTGTGAGAAAAAAAAAAAAGCTGAAGCTGCTATTTGCTGCTTTGAAAAAAGCCAGTTTTTTCAAAGCACACGGAGCTACAGTGCTCCTTTAATGAAAAGACACACTATCATCCTGATTTTTTTTCCAAAAGCACTTTCACAAAAAAGTTTACCAAACACTCTACTGGCTTTATTTCACAGCCGCTTATTCTCACAGCACAGCCGCTTATTCTCACAGCAGCTTTTTTTCAAAGCACAGCAATACCAAATCAGCCCTTAGTCCGGTCACAGTTCGATCTCATACCAACTTTCAAATAGCATTGCCTAGCTAATATTTACAAGTTTCTAAAGTTCAATCATTTTTATTTTGTATTTTTATACTTCAGATTTCATTTTGTTTTAAGTTATAGATTTTATTAATAATTTTCATTTATTTTTTATGTTTTTTTTCTTTCTTTTTTTTTGAAGTTTTAAGTTGAAATTTCTAATATACCTCTATATTTAACGGGGGAAAATAAGACGTTGGTGAAAAAACCAAGTAACACATTGTTAAGTATTCAAGTACTAAAGAAACTAATATAAGAGTTATGAACTAATTAAACTATGGGGTAAAGTTTATAACCATTGCTACAATTAAGCCATAAATTACTATTAGGGTAGTAGGGCCTTTGGCTAAGGAATTTAGTTAGTTCTTAAGCTGGTAAATCAAACTAATAAATTGATAAGGATTGTTTAGACACTAACACTTTTTGTCCATTTGAACGTTTAACTCTGCATTAGATTGATGAGTTTTTTTAGTCAATTTGGTAAAAGTAGCTTACATGTGTTGGATTTGTGGCTTTGATTTGAGCCAAAATTGGAGTCCAACATCAGTGGGTGAGGGGAGCCATGTAGTGCTTTATAAGCAAGTGTCCACACACATTATTGCTGAGGCCTTTTGATAAAACGCCATGCCCATTACTCTCTGGATTGGCTAAAGTGCAAAGAATATCGGCAATACAATTTCGTGTGTGTGGGACTCGTTCAACCCGTTAGTGTGCATCCACATAACAACACATCAATCGAATTACGAATTACGCACTTATCATACCATTAATTTAATGAAGATGTGAATAATCTGTTGGACAAAATGTATGAATTAAAACAATTTTCTAGAACTTCAGAGTCTAGTGCGAAAAGTTTAAAACCTCTTAATCCAATTTGAGAATCACTCTAAACGTTCAACCGTGCACCAGAGCATGTGATGTACACAATGTGTAAAGTAGTCTAATTAGACGGACCAGTCGTTAACCAGAGTAAAAAAAGAATAGAAAAAATCTTGGCCTTGCATTAACATGTTTTTAAGTAGTTTAATTTGATGAACTCGTTAACCAAAAGTCAAAAAAAAAAAACCAAAAGACAAAAACAAAAAAAACAAATAACAGTAAAAGTCTTGGTCGCGAATATAGAACGTAGGTAGGAAAATTGCCTACCTACTTGTCCACCTGTCGTTGATGAGAATATGGTTGGTCATCAATTGAGGCAGCATGTGTGTAGAATAAATTAATCGTATCATGCAAATTCCTGGCGGTGCACATATCAAAGAGAGTTTTATTTGTATTAAAATTGGCCAGCTCCGTATCTCCGTTCTTCATGTCCATCTCAGTCATCAGTCAGCACATTGGATCTGCATTCTTTTCAGTTTTCAATTATCTTTTTCAATGTAAAAGTACAGGTGGCCGAGAGAGCACGTCATTAGATACCAAGAGCTCTTTTTAAGATTAAAACCACACGAGAAACGCTATAGAGACTCTGACTTTTTACTTTTTATCAGATCATGTTTTTAATATAATGTTTCAATGTTAGTACGAAAATGAATGTTAAATTATAAGATGATAGAGAGTTTTACTTTAAAGTAGCATTCTTAGCATTTCTCAAATGGGGTTCATATATGCACAATATTATTGTTTATATTTAAGGTATATTTCTCTATGATATATTTATGAGTACAATTTTTGTATGAAAATTATCTTTGTAATATAATATCATCTAACAATAAATATAGAAGAATTTAAAGGAAGATATATGTCAAAGAAATAACAATTTTACCCAAGAAAAATGTAAGCACATAAAAAATACGGTATTATACAAAGCGAAAAATATCTTGGGTATTTTTTAATTTGTACTTAATCAGTTATGCATATATTAGAAATAATTTTTTTGGAAATATATATAACTAAAAGTTGTGGGCTCCTTGAAGATGGGCCATGTCACATGCTATTGTAGAAGGACACTCTTGTTTTTTTATTCGAAGTACAGTATCACTTTTCTTTTCTATATGCTCCTTTTATTTGTCAATAAAAATATATTTTTCTTTAATTTAACTCAGAGTAAGAACATTGATTTTGATAAAAAAAAAAAAAACAAAAAAAAAAACAAACATCATAATAACAAGTGTTAAAGGCACGCGTAGAAAGCTGACTTTAGAAAAAACCTGTCGGTGAAATCCAATTAAGAAAGGTCTAGTAAAGGAAAACATGATGCCAAAAAAACTTATTCAATAATTACAAACTCAACATGCATAAATTTATAAGTTATTAAAGCCCCAAATGCGCTCAAAATAATAATGTTCTATACAATGATGAGCTAGATAGTTTTAGACTTTCACGCTCAATTGTAATTTTTGCAAGAGTCTGAAGATCTTCAATTAAATTTCTTAAAGTAAAAGTAAATCGATTGATAACTTCATACCATTAATGCGTATATAATTGTGCGAGATTAGTTTGAAACAAATTCATCACTAAATTTTACATGTAAAACCAACTTTTGCCTAACTTCTTTTGAACATGGGTTACTCTTATAATATATTTATCTCCATTTACACTGTATTTGCAGGTCACATACTTCAAATGCGGTGGAGTGTCACTTGGCGTCGGCCTGGAACATCGGGTGGCAGATGGGTGCTCAGGTCTCCATTTGTAAATACATGGTCTGATATCGCTCGCGGACTTGACCTTACAATCCCACCTTTCATCGACCGGACATTACTTCGTGCCCGAGACCCACCTCAGACAACATTCGACCACGTTGAATACCAACCTGATCCGCCCTTAAAAACTCCTCCGCCGACCACAAAAGATGGTGATGCTGAGAGCACAACAGTCTCCATTTTCAGATTGACGCGGGAGCAACTAAGCGTCTTGAAAGCCAGGTCTAAGGAAGAAGGGAACTCAATCAACTACAGCACATATGAGATGTTGGCAGGCCATGTTTGGAGATGTGCATCCAAGGCACGTAATCTTCCCGATGACCAAGTGACCAAACTGCATGTTGCGGTTGATGGACGGTCCAGACTGCAACCCCCACTCCCACCCGGTTTCTTTGGCAATGTGGTTTTCGCAGGCGCACCATTTGCAACAGCGGGGGATCTCAAATCGAAACCAACATGGTATGCTGCAAGCCAAATACATGATGTTGTGGTGCGCATGAACAACGATTACCTTAGATCAGCTCTTGATTATCTTGAGGTTCAACCTGATCTGTCGGCCCTTGTTCGCGGAGCTCATACTTTTCGGTGCCCGAAACTTGGGATAACTAGTTGGGCAAGGCTGCCGATCTACGATGCAGATTTTGGTTGGGGTCGACCTATTTTCATGGGTCCCGGTGGAATTGGATACGAGGGGTTGGCTTTTGTGTTACCAAGTCCAATAAATGATGGGAGTTTATCAGTGGCCATCTCCCTGCAGTCTGACCATATGAAATCATTTGCCAAGTTGTTATATGACATATGAGGAAATCAAATGCATGAAGAATTCGTTCATCGGCCTGAAAATAAAATGACGTGTTTGTGTATTCGTTGGTAATGTACTCTTGTGGCGAACTTCTTGTCTAAGTTGCCTCCATTTTCTCTTGAAATAAAAGATATTGAGTTTTTTTAAATAGGTTTGAATGCCTTGAGCGACGAGATAGAGCAAAATTATTTTATTGTATGGCTTAGCTTAAATCAACTCACCCTTATAGGCATTTTATTCCATCTTCGGAGAAATAATTCGGTTTTAAAACATGAGTGAGTGAGAAATGTTTAGAAAAAAAATAAGAAAAAAAAAACCACGGTTGGAAAAATAAAAAAACCAACATCGGCAACAATAACTGAAAAAGAAGGGAAATCAGAAAGCAATAACAAGGGGAAAAGAGAAATAATTCTGAGTAAAAGAGGGATTCGCGTCTTCATCTTTCGGGTACATGAGCAAAAGAGGGAATTACACAACTTAACCAGAAAAAAAAAAACTTGGCCATTAGAACTAAATAAATCCTATTACTATAAATAAAAGCACAATAGGATGATACAACACACATCTTAAAATTACATCTCTTTTTCTTTTCTCTTTGCCGCTGGCCCTCTCCCTTGTCCTAAATACAATTTAATAAATTAAGCCTACAACAAAGATATATATACACAAAAATGTTATTCTTACTATTTAGTTGTACGTAATAGATATGCTCATGCGTTGACAGACCTTACTTTAATTGGGTCCCTCAGTATTTCTTCTGGTTGCAGTAAAAGAGAAAAGTAGCTAGGCATCTCTGTTATAAACAAAAACTGAAAAAAGATGGCCAAGAAGGTGAGGGTGACGGAGTCGATAATGGTGAAGCCAGCCGGGGAGTCGACGCCTCGGGGCACACTATGGCTCTCGAACTCGGACCTGAAATTGCCGTCTTTTCACACGTCCAGTGTCTACTTCTACAGACCCAGTGATGCAGACAACTTCTTTGACCTGGGTTTGCTCAAGAAAGCACTCGGGAAGACCCTCGTGCCCTGCTACCCATTGGCAGGCCGCTTCAAGCTCAACGGCGAGAATGGTCGTATCGAGGCTGATTGCAATGCGGAGGGAGTGCTCTTTGTTGTGGCAGAGAGCAGGCTTCAAGCTCAATGGCGAGAATGGTCGTATCGAGGTTGATTGCAATGCGGAGGGAGTGCTCTTTGTTGTGGCAGAGAGCAGCTCCGTCCTGGATGATTTTGGCGATTTTACGCCCACTCCCGATTTTCTAAAGCTCATTCCTACCGTTGATTACTCTGCTGGGATATATCCTCATATCCTATTTTGGTATTACAGGTATATATTAAAAAAGAAAGCTGTTATTAACACTTTCAAAATTTATGCACTTTATATCAATTGTTTCAGAGAGAATTTGGATGCGCTCCCTAGCTATTAATGTTATTTGACTAGAACTTGTTAGTTTTTAGTTTTTTATCAAATTCCCTAATATTAATGTAATAATGCATTTCTATGTAGTTATTGTATTTTAAATTAAAAATTGAAATTGTAGTTGATTATATTAATGAGATTTTAAATAAAAACCCATAATTCATGAGATTAAAAATATTAATAATAAATTATACTCTCTAATATATTGTGGGTACATTCATCAAAATTGACAAAAAAAATTATTGTACCAAAAAAATAGATATAGATATATTCTCAAATCAACGAAATAGAATGTACCCATATAAGTTTAAAATGGATTATAAAAAATTTGAATGGATTTTACATTAAAAAAAAGTGCATTTTTATATCACAAAAATGGTACATTTTACATATAACAAATTGGTATATTTAAGAATGAGTACATTTAAGATTAAAAATTGAAAATCTTTTTGAAAAAAAATTAATGGGTACATATTATTCTAATTTTATTTTGGATGTTTTAACTTGAAAATTAATTAGGATAGTTGATGATTTATTACACTTTCATGATTATTGTGTGTGGAGCCAAAAATATTCACTAGGTGACACGTGGATTTTTGGACAAAAGAGGACAAAAATACCCTTGAGGCATACCGGGATTCATACGCGCAAGCAGTGGGCAATCATCTTTCAACCAAGTCAAAAGTGCCCAAAATAGGTAACAATTTAAAACCTATTTCATCAAATCCTTTCTATAAGGTAATTCCCAAAATCTAAATTATTCTATATGTTTTATATTTCATTATTTAGCTAATAAATTAGCTAAATAATATATTCCTTTCATATTTCCTAAAATTGATTAATTAAGGGATTAATTACCTAATAAATCCCTTAATTATCAATTAAATCACCAAATTATAACAAAAAAATATACCAAAGGCCGGTTACCCTCTAGGGCCGGCCATGCCTTCTATTTTGCTACCATTTTCTTTCCCTTTTTATGACATTCAATAGCTAGTTAATTAGGTTATTATTATTTGCTAATTAACTAGCCAATTATTTCCATAACTTTCCAAAATAACTAGCCCATTATCTCCATAACCCCCCAAAATAAATCATTGGCCTAAAGGCCAGCCACACCCATCCTCTCCTATATATTGGTTCCCATTTTCACCAAACACTAATTCCAACACTTAAGCAAAAATTCCAAAATTCTCTAAACACTCTTTCTCTCTAAATTCTAACTTTGACATCGGAGGTTCTTCGGCCAAAGCCCCCCATTCATCGTGGGCGCATGAGGCTTTTGGCCTTAACCTAAGGTGTTAATTGTTTTGTAGGTGCAAAATTGTCCAAGATCAAGGAGGAAGAAATTTGCATCCACATTGTGTACCTAGCACTAAAGGATTTGTATTTGATCTGATTTTCCTTCACAAGAATATTTTGTGAAGTTAGTTCCTGGTGTACTGCACTCAAATATTATAATACTCATGAAAGTTTCATAACCAAAATTGTTTAATTTTGTTTTCACACTGAAGAATTAAGGGACTTGAATGCGATTATAAGGAATTAGACTACTTTTCTTATTGCTAATTGATTTTAGAGTGGAATTTCAGTTTCCTTCATGATTCACGTGTTTGGTTTGAGTGTTGCCAAACGTGAGAGGGCTTTTGAAGATATGGAGTGTTGTCCCACGTCAAAGGTTATTCATCTTTTTTACTAGAGTGTCTTCACACAGAGGGGCGTTTGAGAATGCGGAATGTTGTCCCTCATCCAAACTTTTTGGAAACTTACATGTGCTTGTAAAAATTGAGATACTCTCTTAATGCCAATTGGTTTTTGAAGAAAGTGGCTATATCTTCACAATACCAAGTATTGACAGATTGTGGGGGTTGAAGAAAGGAAATCTGAATTAAGAAATAGATTTATCTTCAAAAAAGAAAATCCATCAAAGCATGGACGGATGTGATATATCCTCACAACAAGAAAGTAGCGATGGTTATTATGGTAAGGGAATACAGGATATCTGAAAAAGAAAATAGTGATCAAGGATGGATTACATAAAACAAAATTAATGGGTGCGCTATTCATATCAAGAGACTCAATTTTAGATTTCATGCATCGTAGAAATATGACTATTAATGGGTGCACTATTCATATCGTTCGCGAGTCGAACTCGCTCTCTTGCCATGCCTTTCACTCATTTGCTTGAGTCAAACTGAATCACTTTTTTTGTTTGGAGGATCATTCGTTCTTCACTCTCTTTATATTACCCGTAAGGAGCACAGTAACCAAGGTGCATATTATCATATATAGAAACAAGTGAAGCGTAACGATTTGTACTACCGGAAAAGCTTCGCTAACCGGCAGGCAATAGAGTTCGTCGATATGCACAAGCAAGCGTAGCGAATCACATAGATAAGCCCCTACCTGCCAGCGCGCGGAGAGATAGGGTGAGCAAAGCGCGAAAAGGATGGATGTCCGAGAAGTTGAAAGAGTTAGTCTTGAAAACCGACGAAGTATTGATAGGAATACCAGGGGTTCGAATCCCTTTCCATCCGCGAAGTCATAAGTTAATATATGGAGAAATTAGGTTCTCATCCCTATTTTTTCTACTCCATTGATTAAAACCTTATTCATTTCAATTTTTAATCAAGGTCCTTAGGATTTATTAACCTCATTAATTATTTCAATAATAAAATATTTACATTTCAAGATAATTAAATTGTATTTCTAAATATATTCATTTAGCGTTAGAAACTTTACATTTGGTATATTTATATTTATGGCTAAACTTTGTGTCATATATTTCTATTTTTAATTTGTATCCATTTTTAATTTGCAACCTTCTTTTTTTTTTCTTTTTTAAATTATACCAATTTTCTTTTCAGATTCAATTTGTATCCATATATTAATTTTCCTTTGTGCTCATATTTTTTAAACTTTTATTTGTACCCATAATTTATTTATAATCTACCCATTTTTATTTAAAAATGTATCACTTTGTTACATGCAAAATGTACCAATTTTTTTTTGGTACCATTCCTTTGATGTAAAATGTATCCATTTTTAATGTAATTTTTTTTTTAATCTAAGATATACCCATTGTTTTTTTTATATATAAAATGTACTTTTGTTTTTTTTTAAAATAAAATGTACCCATTTAATTTATATAAAACGTGCCCATCTTTTTTTTGTATAAAATGTACCAATTTTTTGTATGTGTAATGTACCCACATTTTTTACATAAACGTAAATGTACCCAAAATTTTATTATACAAATGTACTCACATTATAAAAATTATAAAAAAAATTTAAAATTCACCCATAAGCAATTTGTTTTGTTGTGGAAACCCATAAGCAAATTTCAATAATTAAATTGATGGTGTAAATTAAAGAAAAATAATGCATAAGGTTTGAGTCTATGACAGTTGGGGGCAAACACCCTTTCTTGTGAAATAAAAGACATTGAGTTTACAACAAGTCTAATCTTCTGAAATCAAATTACTCGTATACCATTTATGCTTCTGGATTACTGACGCTGTGATTACTTTTCCCACATTTTCATGTGAGGGATATCAAGAGTGCATAGAGTTCGAACGATTTAGGACTCGTTTAAATGTGCTTTTAAAATAACTAAAGGCACTTTTTGAGAAAGAAAAAAATTGGGTTTTAATAGCACTTGAAGTGCTTTCTACAAGAAGCACCAGTTATGTGCTACTTCCAGGAAGCACTTTAAGTACTTTGATAGGATTTACTTGCATTTTTACTAAGGATTGGTTCTAAAAGCATTTTCACCAAAAGCGATTTTAGTTATTTTAAAAGCACATCCAAACGAGATCTTAATCATCTTCATCTTGCTCAACACCAACATAAAATTGAAACCTAAACATTGTGGGCTCAAATTTTCATCGTTATGGAAGAGAGAACACCAACAGAAGAGACCAGAAAAGAGGTTACTTCGTACATTGTTGGACCTCGTTTTGGGCCTACATGTTAAGCCCTTCGGCTTCTTGGGTTTTCTATGAATATTAATAAAAAAAGGTTATTGTGGACATCATGAATTGTATAAAAATATAGGATAGATTCACACACACTTTTTAATTTTTGGTTGTCGGATTAAATAAATTGAAAATGATCAATAGCCAAAAATTAACAAGGGTGTGTTCGGATTGAATAAATTGAAAATGATCAATAGCCAAAAATTAACAAGGGTGTGTGGGAGATATAAATGGGTGTGTGAATAGCACTATCCAAAATTTAATTAATAGTTGGATCCTAAAATGAATTAACTTAAAATACATTTTATATGTTTTTATTTATTAAGATATTCTAAATATGAGTCTAAAGTTCTCCAATGCACCGAAAACTTAAAACTTATATATGTCTAGTTGAGAACCAAATTTGAGTTTCAATATGAGACTTCAGCCCAAGGTGGAGCCCATATTATCTAGGAAAAACGTTACTCAACCAAGAAAGATGAGATTTGACTTTTGAGTCCAATTAACTCCAGTACACATAACCAAAATTGTTTAAACTCAAATATGAGCTTTTGAGTCCAATGTTTCTCCTCCAATGCAAGGACTCAAATCTTAAAACTTAAATGAGTCTTAGATTCTGTATTTGCATTAGAGAAGAAAATCAAAATACATAAATCCACCACCTTTTTTGGACCCAAATATAAGAATATAAGTCTAGAATTTGAGACTTTGCATTAAAGATGCTTTAAGAGCATTTCAACCAGTGTGGACTTCCCTAGGAATATGTCGTGCTCCAGTCTCAGGGTCTATAGAAACCTAAATTCCAAATGTGAGCTAAATTGAGTAAATAAAAAGGTTTTTATGAAAAATGATCATTGAAATTGAAAATCAATTAATGTAATTCCTAGAAATATGTGTTGCAAATCAATGTGGTATTTCCATCACAATTCTATAAAAAAAATTATGTTATGTACTGATGTAACACATAAATGGACCCCGTAAGTCTTTTTTTTTGTAATCACAAATGATCCCTGAAATTGACCCAAACTATCAAGATTGTCCTTGAAATTAAAAATCGATCAATGCAGT